GCCCCATATATGAAGTTTATATATATAAGCTTTAGTATATACAATATATTTGATGTGTATTGCATTACCTGCCACGGTCGGCATGTGGCTGTGGCTGGATATGCGTGCAATAAATTATACGTTACGAAATACGTGCACCTGAGTTTCTAATCCATATGTATATACCGCATGAACAAACAGCGCTATTACGAAAAAATGTGTTCGCGTGTATAATTACGTGAGGTTACATACATGCAATAAATAGACAACACACCTGCACACAAAATAAAGACAAAGCTCCCCCGTATAGCCTTTAACAGACAGTCGGGGCCAGGTTGCCTGCTCGCGAACGCCGAAACGGTCCACGAGGGGGTGGGTTGCCAACACCATGCCGGACCGCCTTTGTCTCCCGAGTGCCTGGTGTTCAATACACACCGTACCTTGACTTAATTATTTCGTGACTGCAGGAATTCATATTCTTTAGGGTCTGTCGGTAAAGTCACGTCAATAGATTTTTTTCTTATTTCTTTGAACCCATCTACGTGACTTTACCGAAAGACCCAAAGAATACATCACCGCACCGTGCACTCATTTAAGGCTGCGTCGACGTACGGGAGGTCCACGACTGGGTTATTGGTCGTGAGCGGCGAATCGAACTTGGGTCGCCGGGTTCGTCACGCGGTGTGCCAACCACTCCCCCTACAGTACAGTATACATATACAACCACAAACACAACGGTAGTTTTCTAACATACTGTTTAATGTGCATGGGGTAAAGTGTGGGCTTTTCCACCTCTTCCATGTCGTCTGGCCAGCGTGGAAGAGTAGGCCAAATACTCTCTAGAGAAGGGGTGGGGTGGGAGCTCTTCTCTCCTGTCATCTGGGGCGTAAGCAAGTAATTGTATGACTGCACCGATGTCTTGTACACAGAAATAGGGCGGTGGCGCAGCAGTTAGCGCACTGCGTTATGATCCCGGCGACCTGAGTACTGTAATCAATTCCTGGCCACGGCTATGAGATCAATGGCGAGCTTGTTCGTGACCGCCACTGTCCAGCGTGGGTGAAGTATGGTCGAACAGCCCCTGTGACTGAAGTGGCATAGGGAAGGCGTGCATCATCATCATCATCAGCAGTGGGAATATTATTTAATACATTATTACGAGTCTATATGACACAATCACATCTGGACAGCTGAGCACACATAACACATAATTACCGCTGTTGACTGCCACATCCTATATGCCACATCGCGCTGGCACTGGGTGGGGCTTTTACGTTGAATTGTTGCGCAACACCATTGGTCTGAAGTGAAGACAAAGGGGCAGCGCTGAAATTCCTTCGCTCGATGCACTGCTGGGGGTGGTGGGGAAGGGTTTCCTCTGGAGGGAGCTCCAGAGAGCCCCCCTCTAGAATGTATGTGTTTGGTCAATTCTTCCACGCCGGCCACACGTCTTGGAAGACTAAATTATTTTATTTTTTATCTTTGCCAGGTAAAGCCCACTGAGCTATCTGGCTGCTTTTTCGGAGGCGACCTGGCCACAAATGATCGCTCGACGACGAAAGTGGCTTATCATCGTGTGGACATTATAGCAGCCAAATAATCTAAGCGCATGTTGATTCTGAACGGGGGTGGGGGGGGGGGGGGAGGGCAAAAACCGTACGATCCGGAGAAAAATCCACGCGACCACGGGGAGAACATGCAAACTCACGAATATGCAGGCGTCAGGGTCGGGATGTAATCCACGACCTGCTGTATACCAGGCGACGGAGTTAGCATCTTGCCACCGCGTTGCCTCGACAGATGTTGTTACCCACACATTAACCCACCACACGCGACCTGCAGATCGACTAAACCGAGGTTGTACCCATGCACACTGCTCTGGGTGGAGAGAGGCAATGAGAGGGGGGGGGGGGGAGGCGAGTTTAACACAGTTGCACCATTGTTTTTACTGGCGCGTCGGGAAATAGAATCGAATCGGCGACCTCAGGATTCCAAGGGGCGCCACGGTGGCTAGGAGATGTTAACTACTTCGCCTGGTATGCAGGAGTTCGTGGTGGTCGATCCCGACCCTGACGCCTGCTGCTGTATATTTGTAGTTTGTGTGTATCTCTCTCTCTCTTCCCCATGGTGAATTGTTAAGCTACCTCGCCTAGTATGGAGGAGGTCGTAGGTTCGATCCCGACCCTGACGCCTGCTGCTGTATATTTGGAGTTTGCGTGTCTCTCTGCCCGTGGTCGGGTGGATTTTTCTCGCGAGGCCCTCTGGTTTTTCCGTCCAAATTTCGTTCCATGCGTTTCGAGTATTTGGCTGTTATTGCTTTCAACAGGATGATAAGCCACTTCGCTCTGCTATCGTTTAACTCAGAAAAAAAACTCCAAAAAATTAACCCGTAAAAAACAACGTTTTCCACTATAAATCCTTTATATGCGTGGCGGCTAGAGTCCTCTCGTCCTCTGGCTTGAGATGGCTGCCACCTATGGGTCAGATGATTGCCTGCCACCATTAAGCAATTGGTAATTAAATATGATTTTTTTTTCCAAAAAAGTGTAAAAATTTTGGAAAAAAATTTCACTAAAATTAATTGTCACGCACAACGAGTCTGTGTAGAAAATGTCAGCTCGATTGGATCACGGGAAGTGGGTTAAAAAACGACCGAAAGATTTGCACGGTCGTAAGCGCGCAAGCAAGCAAGCGTGCAAGCAAGCAAGCAAGTGAACTTAATATAAAGGATTTAAAAAAGACTCGTTTTCAGGAGGGTTCTGCTACATTGAAATTGGCTTTTGGGGCCAATCCCATTCGCAATGGGCGTTTTGTCTTTCGTGCGGGGAGGAAACCGAAGAACCCGGAGAAGGCCCATCACGGACACGACGGCACGGGGCTAGGAGTCGCGGTGACACCCAAAGATCCGCACAGATGGATTCAAGAACGAAGATAATTTACTGCCATTCGCGTGTTAGTCAGATTCCGTCACGCTTCGCTTCCGAGGTCTGGCAGGCAATGCGGAGGCAGTGGTGGAAATTCCACATCCCCGTGACAGCAGCCAGTATATCCGCGAAGTACGATCATCATTGATGTCTTACAAAGTGATAGGATTACTAATTGTATCTCCCCTCAAGGGATGATTGGCCTGCATTTTGAAATGTTTTTTGTTAATCTCAAATTGACCACTAATGCAACAATTATGATAATCATCAACATCATCATCAGCCTTGGTCAATCCACTGCTGGATTAAGGTCTTCCTAAACGTATTAATCATCTCTCACGATCCTGCGATGTGCTAATCCACTGAGCACCCACACATGAGCTGATCACAACAACAATTTAGTTTTTGCGCAACAAAGATGCTTATTTATTACATTATTATTGAAACAGTAGCCCTTTGCGTAACTTGGAAAAAAGTTAATTGAGTCTTGGGACTCCTTTGCAAGAGAGGTCCTGGGTTGTAACATTTTGGCCAAGTTTTGTATTAAACGCATTTATTCGCAACAACAAAACTAGCTGTACTGCCTTGTTTACAGGCATCGCCTTCAAGCTATGCAAGTTGGTGGCTCTAACAGGAACGACGATTGTCTACATGTGTGTGATCCTCCCGAACTCCACCTCCGTATGATCTACAAGGATAACATCGTATATTTCGATTTAAAGCTTTCGTGACTGCAGGGATTCATCTTCTTGGTTCTTTTGGTAAAGTCACGTAAAAGGGAAATAATAAAATAATAAAAATAAAACATAATAAAATAATTCTCACGACGTTTCGGCCACAACGCAAGCAACCGTCCTCATGTGAAGAATGAAACACCACCAAGCTTGGAGCGTATATTTAAGCTGGGTTGGAGGGGGGAAGAAGAGCGCCTTGACAAAAAAATGTGCATATGAAGAGGAATTTAGCATATTTATGGAAAATGCGTAGGAGGTGGGCTTGGGGTTTCAAAGTCAAATTATGCCCGTGCATTATGCAGGATTAGCAGCATTGTACATGTACCACATCGAATCAGCGTGGTGAAGTATGGTCAACCAACAGGCAACACGACGCGGCGAGGCCTTCATCCAGCGGTGGATTTACCAAAGGGCTGCGCATATTCTATCACACGCCGGGCCGTGATACAGCACTTCGGAGGCAAGGGCTGGTGGGTCAGCATCGCAATTTCGTGAAACTCCCAAGCCCGGCTGGGGCTGCGAGGAGGTGACCGGGAGGAGGAGGAGGCAGTGCAGAAAGTAGGTTCGTGACGCCCGTCTGTGAGGACCTGTGCGTATAATCCGAGGTCTGGGGAGCGGTAGTGTAGTGGTTAGCGCGCTGCGCTATGAACCTGGCGACCCGGGTTCGATTCCCGCTCACGGCTAACACCAGTGACGATTATCTGAACCGGTCCCGGGCCTCCCCTAGGTCGACTCAGCCTTAAATGAGTACCTGGTGCGGGTGTCTAAACATCTCCACTGGGGAAACAAAGGCGGTCGGGCGTGGTGCTGGCCACCCACCCCCTCGTGTACCGTTCCGGCCTTCATAGGTCCTCGCTAACAACACTTCCTCCTACAGTCTGTTAAGGCTTCACGGGGGATCTTTGTTGTTTTGTGTTATACTCCTGGTGTGCAAGGGTGGCTGTTCTCTGCTCAGTCCAGTTCCCTCCCGCGTGTGCCAAACGCTCATGAATGGAATTTGCCAAACATCCCAAATGCGGGACCCCCCACCCCCCCCTCTAAAATGATATTGAGACTCAATGCGGCTTTTGTGGATGAACAAAGTGTGTTCGTCGTCTTTATTATCAGCCATTGTCAATCCACTGTTGGATGAAGGCCTGCCCCCAAGAAACCCAACGTAAAAAAAAGTCGAAGTCGCTATATCGTGCTCAAATGAGCATTGAAGCGGTGCTCATCTGGCTACCTATTTTATCGACCCCGGAGAGATGATGGGCTGAGTCAACTCCACCCCCCCCTCCCCCAACACAGGCTTTCAACTGGCAACCTTGCGACCGCTCTGCCTGCCCGCTATTATGAACACGAAAACAGTCACTCACTCACTCACCTGTGCGCGGTGTCGCCTTCCCTTGAGCAGCAGCAGCAGTATAACGTCGACGTATGTATTATTTGTACGAGCGATGTAGTAGTACACTATGAATCTCCCCCTTTCCCGGAATATTTTTCTTGAGCGTGCGATTTTAAAAATATATATAATCTCGATTATACAACAATATGTTTCTTTGCCTATGTCACGTACATTCCGCGGACTAATTCATCGCGCTCTCTGAATAAGCGATTACTCGCTAAGCGGAAAAACATGGTGAGCTCCGAAAGCCGGCACGCTGACTCACACTTGACTGCCCCAACATTTTTAAACTTACTTCAAAAAACGAACACTCAGCCCTGACAGGTTTTGCTTATTTACTAATATACGTGCTACCTTCCAAATGTTAATATATATGTCTAGATGCTGCACATACAGAACTATATATATAAGCAGACACCGTCCGAGTTGGCTCGTCAGGGTCGACCCAAACGGCTGTTTGCGATTTAGTTCCAGTGACTAATTTTTGTGTTCGCTCGCTCGCTCTCGAAGATTGTCCTCGGCTGCCCACATTCGCTCGGCCGGTCTCGCTACTCACTCCGTGCGCGATGTGATGGGCTATTTAGGAGAGGTAGGGCCAGGGTTTTGAGTGGAGCACGGAGGGAGGGAGAGGGGGTAGGAGGAGGGAGGGAGGAAATGAGAGAGAGTGGGCCAAAGTGAGTCGACTTGGAGCTTGCACGGATCTCTATAGGTGAGCGTCGTTGCTGTGCATGTGCTGTGTCTCTCATGCGCATTGTACCTGGTCGGCAATGCTTTCTGTGCAACAAACACCCTTCAGTGCTTCCAACCGAGCTTTGTGGTCCTTGTGTTAACAAGGGGCCCAGGCCTCGAACGTGGTGGAGCGCAATTACCAATAGCCTTTGACAGCCCCAACAGGGCATTTGTTCAATAAATATGCCGAGTCCTGATTTCGTGCGGCGTTTAATTGGAACCCGGTCCTTCGCTCCGGATGTTTGTCTTTGTCGTTGCTGCATAATTAAATCGCGTGTATATAACGAGCGTCCATCCCTCCCCTCCCACCACGCAGCCACCACCTCCTCGGTCCATCGCCTAACCTCTCTCCCCCTTGCGCCCGTCACCACCAACCCCGCCATCCCTCCCCCACATTCAACAGCTCCACCGCACCACCCCCAACCTCAGCGGCATGCGTCTTCAGTGTCTTCCACACAGTGGAATCCCGTTGGACCATTGCGATGGCCCATACACGAACGATGAACCGGACAGCTCGAGTGTTCATCTGCACCGGCTCAGCCCAATTCGGCAATTAACATCGTCCCGTCATCAGCAGCGTCTATTTAGGTATGAGCAGTCAGGTGTTCATAATCAACGTTTTTGGGTTTAGATCGCGTTATTTATAAATGTGTCGTAACCCTCCACCACCCGACACGGCCAATCAGTAAAAGAGTGTCACGTTGACAAAAGACAAATAGTCCAAATAGTTCACTGCTTTAGCCCACCGGTGTGTTGAAGCGTGAAACCACAACATTTACAATTTGAATACGACGTTTCGCTGGTAATTGCATCCAGCATCATCGGGCAAATCGCCAGAATGGTGAGGCTCTGCTGTGTCTCCCGTTCTTATATAGAGCAGCAGCAGGGTGACGTCATCATTAACTCATTCACTCATTAGTCAGGTGTATTGATGATCCACCACTCGCTAGCTGGCTGGCTGGCTCGAGGGATGGAAGGTCACGTCCAAAGAACGTGCAATCTGCTCTATCCGTATCGTACTATCATATATCTATATTAGAAACAAGTTTTGCTGGCTGGCTGGCTGGCTTGCAGGACGTCACGTCCAGAGGGAGGGAGAGAGGGAGAGAGGGACAGATGGACGGTCACGTCCAAAGAGCGTGCGGTCTGGTAGTTGTATGACGAAGAAGCAAAAAAAAACAGCAGCAGACATCTCCCCATTTATAATAATACTTCTATTTATAAATCGCCTTTCATCAAGGATCTCAAAGATCTATACACCACCGCCAACTTCTCACCCACCACTCTCCCCCTCCCTCCTCGGGCCCCATTTCAGCAGCAGCAGCAGCGTCAATGTTTTCTCACAAGTGGCGTCTCATTGTGGCTCCGATGATGATAGAGGGGTAGGTGGCGGTGGAGGAGGTGGGGGTGGAGGCGTGCAACATCGTGCCGAGCAGGTGGGGTGAATCGCGTAAGCCGCTAGGGCGCTGCCACAAAAAAAAAACCCAAAACAAACCCTCCTCGCCCTCGCCTCCGTTCCAGAGAGAGAGAGACGGAGAGAGAGACGGAGAGAGAGAGATAGGCGGGGAGAGAGATAGGCGCGCGGGAGGGGGGGAGAGAAAAGAAGAGCACGCAGTTCCGTCGGGTGTCGTAATACGACACCGGGCAATTTAGTTTTAAAGAGTGTCAAAATACGGAGGGGTTTGTGTCGTGTAAGAGACAACGCGCGGCCACAGTGACAGGGCGCGAGGTTTGATGGAATGAGCAGGGGGGGCGGTGGGAGTGTGTGGGTCGAGGAGGAGTATGGAGTTAACCTCAGACCAGCATCTTCATCATCATCATCATCCCAATTGTGTCGATGAAATGAAGTACTCTTACCACGCTGTCGGGTAAGTCACCAAATGGTTGTCTTGTGGATAGACTTGTACCTGCCGTAGGAATATGGAATTGCCATCTTGAGCGGATCAATCTGCGGTCGTTTATAATTAAAGTTATAGCATTAAAAATAACATCAATTATAATGTTGTCTTGTGGACAGACTTGTACCTACCATAGGAATGTGGAATTGCCATCATGAGCAGACCTATCTGCGTTCGTGTATAATCTCGGTTATTATTTCAGGATTCGACTTGGCCTATCATCCCACCCACCGTGTCTTGTTCACAAACTAACCCCTCCTGCCATAGAAATGTGGAATTCAAAGCAGACCTGGGGTGAATTTTGCATGAAAGTTGTATAAAATGCATACAACAGCATTGCGAGCTAAAATGACAGTTACCTATTACACAATTGCAATTTTAATGGATCCCAAGTCTAACCACTGGGTCACATTGTATACCATTACCACCCAGCGTTAAAATAACCTTTTGAGGAGTGGTGGCCCAGTGGTTAGCACACTGCGCTACTCACCTTGCGAACTGAGTTTTTATTTAACACGTGGGCTTTCGCGACCAATATCATCCATAAAACAGTTTTTTTGGTTAGATCGCGTAAATATCTAGTTGTGTGAAATCTGACTGTCGCCTGATGAAGCTAGTTGTAATTATTGGCGAAACGTCGTACTCAGATTGTAAATGTTGTGGCTTGGCTCTCAAACACACCGGTGTGCTGTACTAGTATACTACACTATACACTACACTACTATACACTACACCACTATACACTACACTACTATACAATACTATGCACTGCACTATACACTACACTATGCACTAGTGCTGTACTCGTGACAAATTGGCCACGTTCTGTTTACGTGACAGCCCTTACTAGTTGGCTGTGTCGGGTGGTGGGCGGGTTTAACGACACATTTATATATTTACGCGATCTAACCCAAAAAAAAACACCTATTATGGATGAGTTTTTATTTTCCAGTCACGGCTAACGAGCTGGTGCTGAGCGTGCTATTTTTCACCAACCTACACTAACCAGCGCGGTGAAGTATGGTTGAACAGCCCCACCGCATGACCGACACGGCCTTCATTCAGCAGTGGATTAATTGATTGACAATTTTGGAGGTTTGCCCGAATGTTGTTGTCAAAAAGAGACACTGGCACATATTTGGCCATTGTTTTTTTATTTTTACAAAACGTAAATTCACCCAACACACGAGCATCTGACCCATGACATTCCCTTTAATTGTTTTACTTAATTTTACCAACAAATACAAGCAATGTGACGTGGGTGGGTGGCTCATAGATCAAAGCACTGCCGAGAACCTGGGTTCAAATCGCTATGGGATCAATCCGTTATTCTGTCGGTAGGGGGCGAGTCTGTTAACGAGACAACCACCGGTTGACGTCCTTGACAAATTTGTGCCTATTTTAGCGACCCGATAAGATTATAGGCAGAGTCGAACCCTTGTATACAATATCCAAGTTCGTAATTCGTGAGCAATTTTTCGAATTTGTAACAAACTGATTGTCTCATCTCGGTCATCGATGACTCACGTGAATATAAAAAAAAATCTACTTAATTTGGCAAATGCCAGCTTTGAGATATATACAATGTTTGGTTTGGCTGCCACGTGACGTATCAGGCGGGCACTCTTCCCGTTTCTCTCGATGCGCTTCCCAAAGCACGTGGAGACACAGACGATGGCAAACACGTCCCACGTTGGTTTTGTGTAACCAGATGAGATCTCAAGGCACCAGGATAGGAGTCGCACTTGCAAGAGTGACCTGGGGGCATTCGTCTGCCAGTAGGGAGAAATGATTGCTGCTCTTGTGCGTGTTTAATCCCAACTAAGTAATTTGCGGTGTCATTTTCGAAATTTGGACCCTGCCAACGACGTAACAGGATCTTTAACATCAACTGCCAACGAAGCAGACGGAGCCACAGTATCGTTCTTATCATTGTTTGGTTATCATTGTTATTACACCCGCAGTATTAACCAGGGCGACCCGCTGGATTCGAACCGTTGACGTGGCGCTGGGCCACGTCAACGAGTGGTGACAACGCCGGCAACACGCGTCTATCCGAAAGCTCCATCCACAGCACAACTCAGCGAAGACCCGCACGGCAGTATTAACGCGAAACCCTCTAAGCTAGCGGTTCTTAACCCGGGGTGCACGCACCCCCTGGGGGTGCGAGATGCCCTTTCTGGGGGTGCGAGACACACGGCTAGATTTTATTTAGGAGCCAAATATGTGAAAACACAAATTAAGCGCGCGGGCACGTATGCACATCATTGCTTTGCTTCTATGTGTTTAGTAACATTGTAACTTCTTTTTTTTACGATTAAAAACCAATGAGGTGCAAGGCTACAGTAAGGGTTAAGAACCACCGCTCTAAGTAGTCTAAGCTACCACCACACTGGGACAAGTTGTGGAGCGAGTTGGTGGGCGGAGAGGGAGGGGGGAGTGAAGCAGCAGCGCTCGGGGTCAGGGCCAGGCAGGAGTTGAGCGAAGTCGCCCTAGAAATTGGATTAAGTCGCTGACATGCTTTGGGTTAAAGCGCAGAGGTCAGCCGAGGGGTCACAGCACAGATATGCGTTCCTTTCGCCAGGTTTACAAAGGGATTACGGTGTTGGGGGAAGGTGAGGGGGGGGGGTGGTGGTCGTGAGTGGGGGGGGGGGGTAGTCAGCCTCATGGCCACGGTGTTTGGGGCGCGCGTCTGATTCCTCGGGTGCGTTCCCGAGTTTGAGCTGTTGGGAGGGGGTCTGAAAAGTCGGATTTTTAAGTAGCAAAGCCAAACTCACGGGGTCGGAGGAGCTGGTATAGGAGGAGGGTGGGAGAGGGAGGGGGGTGAGGGGGGGGGTTCAGGGGCGGAAGGGAGGGGGGGCAGAGTCCGGTGAGACCCCGTCGACCGTTCTGCCTCTTTGT